CCACACCCATACCCACCCGACAAGTTCGGCCTGACCAAACATAGTATGGCCTGAGTAGGCCAAGACAAATTTCAAAACTTCAGTCTGATCTGCTGGATGGCCTGAGGGCCTGGCAGGCGTCTGCCAGGCACCAAGACAGACCGGCAGCCCTGTTGGAAAGCACTATGTTATCATCACGATTCCTTAACAGATAAGAGGTGTGCTGAAAACCAACATTTTCAACTGACACCTTGTTATCTTTTTCTCATTCGTATCAAAAACACAAAACACATTCAGTCTTGCAGTAGATAAATCTTACTTTATTCTACTTGGCAGTCATTTATTCACAGTCAAATTTAGTGTTTTTAATCTTTCAATTAAAAATGTATACAATGATATATTGTGCAATTGCATTTACTGTCTTCATTTCTCTATGTCTTGGAGCCCCATTGAAATCATCCGATGTTTGTGGTTACAATGTAAATGTTCTCTAACTTAAAAAAAGTGTTCATTTTCGTATGTTTATTTTGTAGGCATGTAACTTAGGTGAATCTAATAAACTTAATGTTCATATTGTTCCACACACACATGATGATGTTGGTTGGCTGAAAACTGTAGATCAATATTACTATGGCGGTCAGCAAAATTATTTGAAATCTCGCAATAAAAATTCTTTGTTGTACTTTAGCTCGTAATGATATTCAACATGCGGCTGTTCAATATATTCTCGATTCAGTGATCCAATCACTACTTGAAAATTCTGATCGTCGTTTTATTTATGTTGAAATAGCCTTTTTCTGGCGTTGGTGGATGCAACAAACTGAAGAACTGCAAAATACAGTCCGACAACTCGTTAACGAAGGTAAATAATTTCTCTCTTGATAATCGAGTATGTAGTATTTAATAAAACAGGTCGTCTTGAATTCATATCTGGCGGATGGTCAATGAATGATGAAGGTGTAACACATTACAATTCAATTATTGATCAACATAGTTTAGGTGCTGAATTCTTGCGTAATCAATTTGGTGAATGTGGTCGACCAAAACTTGGCTGGCAAATTGATCCATTTGGTCACTCAAGACAAGTAGCTTCGCTCTTCGCACATGTTAGTTCATCAAAATAAAGCATATTTTAAAATAAAATATAATTTCTAGATGGGTTTTGATGGTCTATTTTTTGGACGAGTTGATCCTCAAGATTATGCTGAACGATATAGAACAAAAACAATGGAAATGATTTGGAAAGGAAGTGCTAATTTAGGTGAAGAAAGTTGGCTTTTTACTGGTGTAATACCGAGAACTTATACCCCGCCAGATTCTTTTTGTTTTGACATGCTATGTCAAGATGAACCGATCAAAGTCAGTTTATATTCACTTTTTTCATCTGATAATATTTGAAATTGAAAGGATGATCCACAATTACATGATTACAATGTACCCGAAAGAGTTCAAGCATTTATCAAGGCTGCACATGACCAAGTTTATATTCTATTTATTTGAATAGAAAAAATTATTTATGTTTATATATATTTTAGGCTACAGGTTTTGCAACAAATCATATAATGATGACAATGGGTAGTGATTTTCAGTATGAAAATGCGAATGAATGGTATAAAAATTTGGATAAATTAATTAAATATGTCAATGCACAGGTAAACTTAAACATGTAGTTTAATATAACATCAATATAAACATTATTTAGCAAGCTAATGGTAGTGATGTAAATATATTTTATTCTACTCCAACATGTTATGTTTATGCATTGAATAAACTCAATCGAACTTGGACAACGAAAACTGATGATTTCTTTCCAATTTCATGGAATGAACATGGACTTTGGACTGGTTATTATACTTCGCGACCTGCATTAAAACGATATGAACGTTATTCAAATAATATTCTTCAAGTAACAAGACAGCTTAATGCATTTTCAAATATTACATTACGACATGGAATTTTTCCTCTAAGTATAAACATCAGAAAAGAAAAAGGTTTTCTTTTATATAATTCAATATAGGTGAAGCAATGGGTATTGCTCAACATCATGATGCAATTAGTGGAACAGAAAAACAACATGTTGCTAATGATTATGCTCAACGATTAGCACAAGGCATTGATTCTGCCATTGTAAAAACATTAATCTGTAACATTTGTTGATGAAATATCTTTATTTTTAGTATGTTATTAATGAAGCTTATAAAAAATTCTTATCAAAAGAAAATCAATCATTACCAGTTCCAACTCAATTTCTCTGTCAATTTTCAAATATTAGTGAATGTTTACCAATTGAAGGACAAGATAGTGTAAGTGAAATTATTTTTCTAAAAAATCGTTTGTCAATAAAATATCAAATAGTTTACATTAACCATTTGGAATCCAACAATACAACCAATTGAACATATAGTACGTGTACCAGTAACACAAAAATATTCAATTCGAAATCCAACAGGGGCAATAATTCCAGCTGATGTAAGAATTATTTAGAATATTTCTTGATTAAAATGTTTTCAGCTTTTTCCAATTTCTGAATCAATTAAAAATATTCCTGGTCGAACAAGTACTGCTCAATATGAATTATTATTTCGAACACCTTTACCAGCCCTTGGTTTTAATACTTATTATTTTGAAGCTAGAAGTAAAAAGAATAATAATTATTCAGTTTTCTCTATTATTTACTTTAATTAGCTGATGTGACCATGGAAAAAAAATCTACAACAAGAGTAATACATAATGAAGCATGTACACTTCAAAATCAAGTAATTAATAAATATAAAGGTCATTTAATATGTTCGTTTTTTTATGTAGTATCTTCGAGTTGAATTTGATACACAAGGAAATTTAAATAAAATCACTAATCTTGATAAAAATTTCTCAGTATCATTTTCTGCTCAAGGTTTTTATTGGTATGCAGGTAAATATCAATCATTTCGTAGATACATTATTTCTACACGATATTTTCAATTGTAGCTTTTCAAGGCAATAACTCTCGCCCGGAATTTCAATCATCAGGTGCTTATCTGTTCCGACCATTTACACCAAATCCATTGCCAGTAAGCAGTTCACGTAATATGTAAGTACAAAAATATTAATCTTCATCAGAATTTATAATACTAAGTAATTAGAACATGTACCTATATGGATCAAGTGCAAATAGCATTGATTGTATATAATAATTGGGTTAGTCAAGAGATGAGAATTTATGACGAAGCAAGAACAATTGAAATTGAATGGATTGTTGGACCAGTTCCAGTTGAAGATAATATTGGTAAAGAAATAATAATGCGTTATGATACAGATATTCAAAGTAATGGAATTTTTTATACGGATGCTAATGGACGTGAAGTACTTGAACGTAAAAGAGATTATCGACCAACATGGAATTATACAGTACATGAAAATGTTAGTGGAAATTATTATCCTGTTGTAAGTCGTATTTGGATTAAAGATAATCAAAAACAGATGACTGTATTGACAGGTAAAAAAAACGAATATTTGAATTTTTACATAGATTTATTTTAGATCGATCTGAAGGTGGCTCAAGTATACATGATGGTTCTATTGAACTAATGATTCATCGTCGTTTAGTTTATGATGATTCATTAGGTGCTGGTGAACCAATGAATGAAACTGCTTATGGTAAAGGTCTTGTCATACAGGGCAGACATATTCTTGTTATTGAACCACCAGAATCAAGTGCACTTTATCATCGTCCTGCTGCTCAAAGACTTTTCATGAATCCACTCAATACTTATGCATTACCAAAATTACCTTATACTAATTATTCAAATAGTTATCGTCAAACATGGTCAGCTTTAGCTGAATTATTACCATATAATATTCATTTATTGACGTTTGATCAATGGAGTTCAAAAGTATTTCTCATACGAATTGAACACTATTTCGAATTGAATGAAGATGAAACATATTCAAAACCAGTTCAAATTGATTTACAAATTTTATTTAATACATTAGGAAAAATTAAAGATTTAATTGAATTAACACTGGGAGGAAATTTACCATTGAATGAAATGAACCGACTAGTTTGGAAAACAAATGATAATCAATCATCATATTGGAAATCAACAAGTATAAAAAATAGTTTTACATTAAATCAATATATTCATTTTTGATAATTTAGATTCGAATCTATTACAAAGTATAATCGTAACACTCAATCCAATGGAAATTAAAACTTTTCAAGTCACATTACAATAAATCAAATATATAGACATTATATTAATTCCTCTTATAAATGAAACAAAAGATATCAATAATTAAGGTGCGGGTGTGGATGTGTGGGTGGGTGTGGGTTTGAGTGGAGGTGGATATGAGTGAGTGTGTGCGTGTGGACTGAACTATTGTCATTCATGTTCACATCCCACACCCACATCTGAAGATCGGGTTCGGTTTATTCTGTAGGGCAACTGAAATTGTATTTATGCTGAAATTTTCATAGCTCTACACTGAGCCAGTACAAAATGGCACGCGTTTTACTGAACATTATGAATAACTACGTTGTGAGCCGACGAACCAAGAGTTTATACTAAAAATAGAATACCTTGACAATGGTTTGGGCTACTGAGCTGCGCTTTGCAGAAAAAAAATTACAAGTTGATGCACTTTAAAGCTGTGAAATCGAAATTAAATTTGCGGCACTTCGTTTAAGCAGCCTTATATGAAGCTGGGTCGCGGCTTATGTGAAATGGCTCATATATATATTAATAGATATCATTGAAGTGAATTTTAAGTCAAAATGAAATAGTTTTCTGTCTACTTAGTAAGAGTGATTTTTAACATCATTACTGCATGATGATCAATGTTAGGTGATGTATAACTACCAGTAAATGTTCCAAGATCTTTACGTGCCCATAAATCACGAACAACAGCTGAATGATTAATAGGAAAACCAATATCACTCCATTTAACAGTGATTGGTTCACTTCCACTATCAACTCGATTGAATAAAAGTACTGCTTGTGAACCATCTGAAAGTGGACCTACCCATATTTCAGGTTCTGCTTCCGATGTCAAACATTCACCATTGTGTTTACTTCGAACTGTTCCATCAATTGAATTCCATATCCATTCTTGATTATCTTGTTTATTACATG